GTTGAGGCTTCAGGGTTCAGAGTTTAGGGTTTGGGGCTGAACTTCTGTAGGCTCAGAGATTCAGGCGATTGCACAAGCCCTGATGCAAAAGGGTTTAGGGCAGGATTCGAGAGGGGCAAGGTCGACAGACAATCGCCGCCATGGCACCCTCAAGCGGATCCGAAAGGTTAATCCTAGCCAGGAGGGAGGCAAACAATCCCCAAGCTGGAGGTGTGGACCCGATTCATCATCATTACCATGTTTGTTGGCATTGTTCTTACTTCCCATGCCGGAAGTAAGGGCAGCAGTCGATGAGCCCCTTGTGAAAAAAAATTGGCATTATTCTTATCATCACTATTATTGGTATTATTCTTATCATCACTATTATTGTTGTGATTCTTATCATCACTATTATTGGTGTGATTCTTATCATCACCTTAATTGGTGTGATGACTTTCAAAATTTCGGAACGCCTGCCACACCAAGATAAAGAAGAACACGCCTTCAGCCCCCAAGAGACGTGGACCCCAATCACTAGCATTGCCATGTTCAGTTTCGGTTTAGGGTTTAGGGTTTAGGGTTCATTATCAGGCCAATCATATTCAGAGTAAGAACAAGACTCAAGATAACTAACTTAAAGTAGACCCCAGTCCCTAATCCCGAGTCCCTAGCCCACAATATTAACAGCAATAGTTCTAAGAGTTTTGGGGTTAGGCCCTAATCCGTAATTCCTAATCCTGACAGGTGCGGACCTAAACCCTGAACCCTAGTCCTCAAAAGGCCTAAACCCTAAACCCTAAACCTCGAAAGGTGTGGACCTAAACCTTTAACCCTAAAAACTAATCCGTCTGTCGTGCTGTCTTAAACCTCGCCTGAGCTCGTCGAGCGGGAGTGCTAAACAAGAATCCTAATCCGTAACCCCCAATCCTCACAAGGTGTGGACCTAAAGCCTAACCCTAATCCCTAAACCCTAATCCCTAATCCCTAAACCCTGAACCCTAAACCCTAATTCCGAAACCCTAAACCCTAGATCCTAAACCCTAAACCCTAAACCCTAAACCCTAAATCCTAAACCCTAAACCCGAAGCCCTCAAAAGGTGTGGACCCGGAGCAGCTACGCCCGGCGGCTCTTCGGAGCCTGGGCGGCTTCTTCGCTGCTGCGGAGAGTCGGGCCGAGGCGTTCGGGTTTAGGGTATTAGGGGTTTAGGGTTTAGGGTTTAGGGCTTAGGGTTTAGGGCTTAGGGTTTAGGGTTTTGGGTTTTAGGACTTAGGGTTTAGGGGGTTTAGGGGGTTTAGGGGTTTAGAGTTTAGGGTTCGGGGGTTCGGGCTTTGGAAGGTTGAAGTGGGTTTAGGAATTCAGGTTTAGTCTTTCGGGGATTTAGGAGTTGGCGGTTTTGGGGTTTTGGGGTTTTGGGGTTTTTGGATTACGGTTCGGGTTCGTGAGTTTAGGAGTATTCAAGGCTGTAGGCCCCCTTTACTCTATACCTTAAGCTTTAATGACCAGTATAGGGTTAAATGTGTCCTTGTTTTTTTGCGTCCCGCTTAATGCTCACATGCTCGTGTCAGTGTGGTGAGAGTTTCTGTGCATGACGATGGCCGCGTGCATGCCCCAGCGTATGCAGTTCTGCATGCACCTATGACCTATAACCCAAGCACTGAAACCTTAGGCTCGTTGTCACTTGTTTGATGTCGCGTCACGCCTTCGAAGCCCTCAGGCGAGATCAAGGGTGCATGATCCACGACGAAGGATGCTACTGTAGGATGTGCATGGCACTCCTGGTATGGCACCGACAAAGCTTAGTGCACCTAGGCATGCATCGAAGCAGACCCGTCCGCGAGCCGTGAGACTCAAAGTTCCTGTTCTCAGGGTTTAGGCTTTAAGGGTTTATGGGTTTAGGGGTTTAGGGGTTTAGGGTTGAGGGTTTAGAGTTTAGGGTTTAGGGTTTAGGGTTTTAGGGTTTAGGGTTTAGGGTTTAGGGTTTCAGCCAACTGCTCACACTCACGACTTGCAGGCGGAGCTCCTCGAGCGTTGCGCTGTGCCTTGGTGCGAGCTTACGGTCACGGCTGGCCTTAGGGCTTAGGGCTTAGGGCTTAGGGTTTAGGGTTTAGGGTTTAGGGTTTGGCCGAAGTGGAAAGCCTGTTGCAAAAAGGGTTTAGGGTTTAGGGTTTAGGGCTTTGGGGAATTGGGGTGATCCAGGCTTGAGAACTTCAGCGTGGAGCTTGTTTCTTTTCGACGGTTTGGGGGCGCAATTAGGAAGCCTTCAGGGGGTAGGAAAATGTGTAACAATTACGTGACCGGGGGCCTGTGCAATCAGCTACAGCATGTCTGAGCTTGAGAGAACCCATGTTGTTCACGTGCATCGTGTCGTATGTAGTCCTCCAGACGAAGTCTTGCTTCGGCCTTAATGCTTAGCCATTCAAAGTTCTTCCAACCTTCTGAAACCGTGATGTTCCGGATTTCCGTGCGGACAGTCAGCCTCAAGACATTTCAGTACAACATGCATGGTAGTCATTGGCTACAAAAGGATGCCGTCGAACGGTCGAAGCCATGGTGGTGGCACTCCTTTGCCATTGTACAGTTTACATGCTTAGCAGGCAAGAACAACAACATTTGGGGGCCTGCCGGTGCTTTTCCCGCAGAGACGAGGTTAGCATCCCCCAGCAGGGGAGGGTAGTGGTGGTGGTGGTGGTGGTGGTTGTACTGGTGGTCGTCGTCGTGGAGTAGCAATGGGTGACAAGCAGTAAATGTATAGCCGCCTGCTTCAACCGTAACCATGATCGTGACCATGCTGGGTGTTGAGAGACATTACAAGAGATGCTTCAGAGGGCACTGAATCCCTAAACCCTCCACCCTAAACCCTAAACCCCCAACCCTAAACCCTAAACCCTCAACCCTATAAACCCTAAGCCCTAAACCCGCAACTGTATAAAACCCTAAAGCCTAAACCCTAAACCTTCAACCCTTTTCAACCCCAAACCTTAAACCCTCAACCCTAGAAAACACTAAACCCTAAACAAAACAACCCAAAACCCAAAACCCTCAACCCTATCAAGCCCTAAACCCTAAACCCTATAAAATCCTATAAGACCCTAAACCCTATAAAAACCTAAAGCCCTTTGAAACCCTAATCCCTAAACCCTATAAAACCCTAAACCCTAAACCACATAAGAACCCAAAACCCTAGACCTTCCTCGGAAAGGCCGTGCTGCCAAGCCGATCGGGCACTCCTCTGCCCGGGCTTGGTGCGGCGTTCAAGGCAGCATCCAAAAGTCCACCGAGATACGCAGATCATATACTGTAATATACCACAATATATGGTACAGTACGATAAAAATACTATAATGTACTATCATATACTATAACCTACGATAAAATACGATATTAATCTATAAGATACATGTCCCATATCCAGCTGTGAGTTGCAGGTTTTCTGTTTGAAGCACGACAGACAGCAATAGGTGGCGACGATGGGGAGTTCTTTTCTGCCACTATTGCAGCAATAAACCAACACCATCGACAGCAGGAGCCACGGAAACCACAGCAGGAAGTACTGACCGGTAAAAGTGCAATTGGCTGTTGTAGTATTTGTAATCGTATATTTGTGATCGTATGTACCAACGCGCTCTTGTACTTGCGTACTCTCGAATTCGCCTTCTCATGTAAACATGCTCCTACAGCTTCTGCTGCTACCCTGCTGCTACTGCTACTCACTAGTACTAGCGCTGCTGCTGCTACCTACCTGCTGCTTCTGTCACTGGTTCGGGTTGCTCTCCATGTTCTGCGTGCTTCTGGAATATTCCTGTTCCATGCCGAGTGGCATTCGTTGGGCGGTTTTCGACCCTGAAGCTCACTAGAGCGAATCTTTGATTCGGGCGATCCGCTATTCAGAAATGGGTACAGAAATAAGTATCACCAACTCTTTCTTGGGACGGAGCCCCGAGCCAAGGGAGGTCTGGGATGTGGTGAATTGCAGTGGGTGGCTGCGCAGGTCGTCGAGCCTGCAGTCTATCTACCTGATGCAGCAATGTACCCTGAAACCTTCTACTGCACTGCCCAACCCAACCCATCATGAACACCATGCATGGACACCCTACGCGATGACCTCAGCCAAATGGCTTGATGTCGTCCGTCGATCGTGAAAACTGTGCGGAGTGCCTTTGTAGCTGCTAGCGACTGAACATAAACCCCTAAACCGAACCCCCAAAATCCCTAAGCATCCTCTAGCCCCACGAAGCCCCGAACCCACCGGCGTTGCCTGGCTTGTCGCCCTGATCGAGGCCATCACGCAAGGCTTGGTCGAACGCTCCGTTGAGGCCAGGCTACAGCGTTCTGCCGGGTCTCTCAAAGAAGCCCATATTTGAAAAACCCTCGTAGAAGCCCTTGCTTGCAAACCTTGACCCCTATAATGCAACCAGTATAGACAACCTTGCACAGTTTCGGGGTGTGGCCCTTTAGGCCCCTCTTTGGGCGGGCAGTGAGAACATAGGATTTCTGGGTTCATGTTGGGTTAAGGTTGAGATTTTTGTTGTTCCGGGATGTAGGCTTGTCCAGAACCGATTGTGCGGTTGGTTCATTAGTCTGCTTTACTTGTTTTCATGTCTCATGTATCCGGCAAGCCCATCGGAGATGGAATGTTTCAGCGATCTTGCATTTGAGAGCACTTCAAGATCAGGGTGACTGCGGAAACCGCTGCAGTAATTGACGCTGATTGCGTTTCCCTGTTGGCGATCCCAGTATAGTGTTGGACCTGCAGAGCAAACCTCAATGTTCTGGTGGAGTCTGTGCTTAAGTTCCAGGTAGAGGTCTTGTGGCCACTCGAACCCCTAATACGGGCCTAAATAAATACCTATATTATTTTGGGGGTCCTTATTATGATTTTATAGTATAATTGTCCCCAAAACCCTGTTCTAATTTTTCAGGCCCC